AGAAGGACATCGAGGTGCTGGAGCGTGTCCAGAGGAGGGCAACGAAGTTGGTGAAGGCACAAGTCTTGTGAGGAGCAGCTGAGGGAGCTGGGGTTGTTTAGTCTGGAGAAGAGGAGGCTGAGGGGAGACCTTATTGCTCTCTACAGCTACCTGAAAGGAGGTTGTAGCCAGGTGGGGGTCGGTCTCTTCTCCCCAGTAACAAGTGATAGGACGAGAGCAAATGGCCTGAAGCTGCGCCAGGGGAAGTTTAGGTTGGATGTTAGGAAAATTTTGTTTCCATTGCCATTTCCCTTTTACCTGGCAAAACAAAGGTTTCTAAAAAGAATAAAAATTAGAATAACCTGTTGGTTCAAAGTAGCTCTGATTTTTGTGGCAATGTTTGAAAACTCTGAAGTCAATAGTGTTCTGACTTCTGTGCGTGTCATCACACATTTGGAGTTTATCGGCACCAAAGATCACAAGATTATGTTAGCTGTGTCAGTAAGAGACATGCTCATTAAGGGATTACATTCGTCATTTCTCAGCAAAACATTCATTGCCAGTGGCAATGGAAAATCATGAGAATATGAGATTTTGTATCAGTATGTTGTTAGCACACCTCTTTAGTACAATGATGTGGTTTGGTGGTTTTTTTAACCTCTCCCTAACTGAAATTCTTGTTAAAGAGTTTTTGTTTACGGTCACTAAGTAACTGCTGGCCTAGTCCTCAGCATTTTGACTTCTGAAAAAATCTTTGACTTCTGAAAATGTCAGCTCCTGAAGAACAGTGGTTGCTCATAAAAGGCTTTTCAAAAGTGTGACAACTCGAGGAGAAATATACTCTGAAAGTAAAAGGAAATACGGGGGCATATGTCACCAAATATTCACAGGGCTGGTTTGGGGAGAGGTTGCTTCTTCCACACTGGGGAAAAAAGGAGGGATTTGTTAAACTCCCGTGTCACTGTGGAAGAGAGAGAGGTTTGTTTGGCTTTTTTTTGACTAACAGGAGGGAGAAGCAGCGGGCAATCGTGCAAAGCACCATTTCTCCCCACGCAGCACGCAGGGAGCACGAGCAGGGGATGCTCTCACAGGCAGCTTTTTCTAGAGCCAGGGAATGTGCAAATAAA